ACCACTACTACCACTCATCACCACCCACCACCACCACTGCACAACCATCGCCGTCATCGTTGCCATGCACCACAACCACCTAAAACCTACCCCAACCACCACCACCACCACTACTGGCGCCTCCATCCACCACCACCATCGTTGCCCCTACAAATAGTGAACTAAAGAGTGAAATCTTGTTTGGGGGTGTGAAAGATAGAGGGTGGTGGTGGACTTGGCACTGGCAGGTGACGTGAAAGACTAAAGGCACACTCAGGATAGTGAAAGATAGAGGTAGAGAGTGTCTTTAGTTCACTAGTTTTGTAGTTCACTGTCTTTTGAACTAGGAGATTTGTGTGCGTCTATGTTGTTAACTTTTTGAATCAATTGTTTAATATGTGGAGTTCTGGATGATCTTAGAAGTTCGATTTTGTAACGTTGAAGGTCCCATTTGAATTTTGTGAAATTTATAGAGTAGAAGTAATATTGTAATACAAAAAGAGAAATACTAGTTTGAACTACAAGACAACAAAGATGGGCTAAGTTGGACTTAATGACTTAAAAAGTCCTTGTCTAGACTTTTTAACAAAAAAGTTTGGTTTCATTGAGCAGGACTATTTTATACCACCACCACCCATCGCCACCACCCACAACCACTGTCACCACCCACAACCACTGTCACCACCCATTACCCATCATCTACACCCTTCACCACCATCCAAAACCCATGGCAACCACCCACAACCAAGACCACCACCATTATCATTACTCGCCACCGCCAACTCCATTGCCATCCAACATCACCATGACCATTTTTTTTCTATAATATATGTTTTGGATATATATTAAAATTTGAGACATAGAGAAGCTTTTTTTGAGTTTTATAATTCATCCCAAATGCCACCTCAAAATCTTCTTTCATTCTTAAATTCTTTTTTCTCTCATCTCTCTTTCGTCATCCCACACGCACACTAAAAAATAGTGAAATTAAAGATAGTGAACACAAATAAACTGTGCTTAAGTAATAAATTTGATTAGATTTTAATAACTTAGTTAAGACATTTCATTTGAATTGAGAAACATATATTGAAAACAATGAACTCAAAAAATTGAAAAAATATTTAAGAATTTTAATTCACACATCAAGAAGAAACTTCTTGTTCACTGTCCAAAATTAACCATTAGATCGAAAATAGTTATTTTTTACTTCGGTTTGAAATTTGTGAGAAATTTAGTCTCCTAAATGTCCATTATCTCTACGATTTTTCAACAACTCGAAACTAAAAAATATAAGATTCAATAGATGAATTGAAAAAAAAAATCGCCTAAAAATTGTGAAAAAAGAAAAACAGATATGAAGACTGGATCACCATTAAATGGAACATCTAACTGACATGCATTGCATAAGATCTATACAAAAACTGTGTAGTCAACAAAATCCAAATAACAGTCAGAGTAGCAGAAACGAGGTACTACAATATCACAAAGCAATTAACCTACATAAATCTTAGAAATCTACAAAACAAAGACAAACCAGGGAACCACATATATAATATAGGTCATATTTCTGAGGATTCACTGTTCAAACTTACGTGGTTACTGCCTAAAGTTTCAGGATTAGTTTGAAATCTGTGATAGCCTAACGCATTGATGTGCTTCCAATCAAATCTTGTTCGCTCCCCATGTTTTCGAACCCCAGCGTTGGTGGTGACCTAGATAGTTGCCTTCACTTTTGGCATGCCTTAATATCATTTTTATTTTACACTCATTGGTTTACAATCAAAAAAGAAAGGAATGAAGTTTTCGGTGACTGAAAAATGAATGAAGTTGATGATAAAATTTATGCAATTTTATTGCATCTTTAAATTGAACTTATTGCATGCACTAATTAAGGTTAGTAACCGTGTTTTTCTCAATTTTTTATGGGGTGCTTTCAACACAAATCAGTTTTTTCAACGAAAAATGGAATGTAATATATTTGGAATGTATTTTGTAAGTAGACTAGATATTGCGTAACTTGGCTTCGTTGATGTAGGCGTGCTTTTTTTTATTTTTATAATCTCTTGCAGGTAAATGGTTGTACTGGCAAAATGGGCAAGGCGGTACTTGAAGCAGCTGTCTCTGCAGGAATTCATATTGTTCCAGTATCATTTGGTGGTCTAAAAAATGCTGGAAAAACTGTGCAAGTGGGTGGAAAAGATATTCAAATGTATGGTCCCTATGAAAGAGAACGCATTCTAGCATCTATCTTAAATGATTATCCAAATTTGATTGTGGTGGATTACACAGTGCCTGCTGCAGTCAATGGTAAACATCTGTCAAACTTCTGGAGAAAAGGGTAATGAAATTTAGATCTCAAATAAATTATGGTCAAAAGCAAGAAGAAATATCTTGAATATTTAGAAGAGAAGCACTGTTGTTGTCATTTGACTTGCTTTAAGCTATTTATCAACTAAGAAATTGCTACACTAAAAAAAAGGGGGGCATTACACAATCTGATCTGAGGGATGGGTGGACTGGTGGCGATGTGGAAAAGTTCCATAATCTTGTAAATATGAAATGTTGTTTGGTTTTTCTTGTACTTTTTGGTTCCACCCTTTTGTACTTGCTTGAATTACTTATGCACCACCATTTCTTTCACCTTTCTTGTATTGATAAATTTGGTTTGTTATCCAAAAGGAAAAAAATACACGTTATGGAAATTGACAGGATAGGTCATGAGGATTAATATGCTGTCATGCTTTGATTATTTGCCTCAAGTTGTCCAGATTTCTCTATCTGAATCCAAGAAGAAAAAACTGAATTTCAGAAGCTATTTTCGTCTTACCTTGTATAAATTTTTTTTTTTTTGTAATGTTCAATACTTAATAGTTCAATCGGAATATAAATTGAGAGCCTAATGTACATATGTTGGAAATCTATGGATTATCTCCAATATAAAGATAGATATTTTGTTGCCTTTCAAATAGTATACTTACGCAATAATTCTTATGTATTATTCAGTATGTAGTATTTACCATGATTTTATGCGAACATTACTGTTTCTATACAATTGTGAAGTGAGAAAATTACCCATTACTTTTTTAATGATGCACATATGTTTACTGTTACAAATGTCCTTGTACCTTACCTTTCAGATTGTGTGGGATTGAGACTAACTGCATATTTTAGTAGGAACATAGTGCAAAAGACAATGCAGAACTTTACTTGTTACAGGCAAAGGAAGGTGCTAGTTTTTTTCCACGAATGACATATTTACCCCTTTGATATCTACATGATATATTGGCGTGTTACTTTGTGGATTCTTCATTTTTTGTTCTGCAATATTTCTTTCTTAGAGATCTCTAACCTCGAGGTGTCCTTACAATGTAGATTTTAGCTTAATAAAAAATAATGGACTTTATAATTGCTCTAAGGTATTCAAATTGTAGTTGTTGGATTTGCAAATAGAAAGCAAATTTTCCCCTAATATATCCCACCATTTACATAGACTTCTTAGTGGGGACTGATTGGGTGATGATACTGTTGAATAGTTTGCACTTAAGCCAATTTGAAAATCTTCTTGTGAACTTGAAAACTGAGTTCTGCATTCCACTAAGCTACTTAGAATCTATGTATTGAAGTTTTTGTTGCCATACTATATACACAGATAATGTTGAATTATATTGCAAAATTGGCGTTCCTTTTGTAATGGGAACTACTGGTGGAGATAGAAATCGGCTTTATAAGACAGTGGAAAGCTCAAAGATTTATGCCGTGATCTCTCCCCAAATGGGAAAACAGGTTATCAAAGCTTAGTACCTGTATATTGGTTGCATTATCTCTGTGATGCTATTATTTTGTACTTGATGTTTTAGTAAAACCTTACTTCACTGGCTTCATTTAGCTAGTGGCATTTCTTGCAACCATGGAAAATATGGCGGAACAGTTTCCGGGAGTTTTCTCTGGGTACACGCTACAGGTACTTCCGCTTTCTGCTTCCTCTTGATTCGGTGGTCAAATGTTCATGGTCACTTTCTTGATTTTATTGTTTTTAAGTGAACCTAGAGACCTTAATCTTATTCTAGAGATCCTTAATCTTATGGTTAATCCTTAACCTTAATATGTCAGTCTGAGCCGAAAAAAAAAAACTTAAAGATGTAAGAAGGTACAACCAAGAGATTTATGTGGCTTGAAATCAAGGGTTATATGATATTTTGTAATATTTTTTTATAATATTGTGTTATTTTGAATATTACAAAATAAAATGGGAAATGATTATAAAGTATCAGTGAGTCAACATATTGAGCCCCAATCCAGTGGGCCAACCCACCGCCAATTTTTGTCTCTGAAATACATTTGACCACCATGCAGATCATCCACCACTACCACTGCCTTCTCCAGTCACCATAAACCTCCCTAACCCAAAAGCCTAAACTATGTAAAAAAATTTCTAATTTAGATGCTACCTTCAATTCACCCCTCCTCCCTATGATCACTCTATCAAGAACCCTTCAAGAACACACCGCCACAACACACTCTCTTTGTGAAAATTATGATCCCTACTACAGAAAAATGAGTGAATTCAATACCAGGAACCATGACCATCTCTGATTTTTAGGTATGGAACAATGCTTACCTTTGGCAATGGTGAATCCAAAGACTTGGCCATGGTAAGGACTTCTTGGCCTCTTGTGGGACCTGTTTTTGTTCCTGTGAGACCTGTTTTTGTTAATAAATGTGTCTGGTGCCCTTGACTCTGTTTCAAGTGAACCGACTAACTGTCATTTGAAGGGCTCTAGCTTGGTTGTGGGAGTTGGTTATGGGAGATTGAAGGGTTTTGGGTGGGGGAGGGGGTCCTAATTGGGGAAAGAGTGTCGGGAGTCATGGGGTCGTGGGGATTGTTTGGCAACAAGTTTAGGAATGTTTGACACCATGGTTTTTGTTTTGTCTTGGAACACATTTAGGTTTGTTTGGCAAACTAAGCTGGAAGAATTTTGGTGTTTTTGATCTAAACTAGCCCATGGCTCGGTCATGTGTGGGCCCTGTGAAGGCTTTCTGTAACAAAATTTTATCCAAATTGAGTGGAAGAACTTGATTGAAAAACATGGAAAACTTGGAGGATTTGATTGTTGCAATTGAAAAAAAAAACTTACTTTAAAAAATTTCCATTTAATTGTTTGTGATTAGTTATAATTTAGATTAAAGACCGAATATTTAGCAATTATATAGGCTATTTATCATTTGAGATATGTTACTGCCACCATCTGTTAGCCTGAGTTAGGCCAAGATAGATATGGTTAAATGTGGAGTGTTGTATTTGAGCATTAATTATGTTTATTTCATTCTTAACTTGGTGTACTTAATTCATCGGCTTGATATTCTTATCCTTCTTACTCATTCTATACAGCTATGCATCCTTTCTTTCCAATATTCACCACGAACGTGGTGATGTAAGAAAAATTCTTCTTTTGGTGTCAATTTTTTCCATTACTAGCTTGTGACATGTTAGTTACTTGCTGGCTTGAAGCTCTGATATTTTAGCTTATCATTCTTCATGTTGTCTAAAACATATTAAACGTGTAAGGTTAAGGATGACTTTTCTTTTTTCCTGATATTTTGCTGATATGTCATAGTGAAATCTGATGTTTTACTAAGGTGATTGTGCGGGCTTGATCCTGCACGATATATATAAAATATTGGGAACAGATCTCTCCCCTGGTGAACTTTGGGCGAGCCGATTGAGTGGCCAAACACACTGCGCGAAACAGCTTACGATCCTGGGGAAGGAGGAACGATCCGGTACGTGCGAAAGGTATTTCCTGGGGCAAAAGAGAACAAGTTAGAAGGGCGCCGGAGTGTTTTCCGGCGTATCCCCTCCGACGATCTTGTCAGTCTTTGAATGAGAAAGAGGAAGGAGAAAACACTGAGAAAGGATATTTCGTAGTAGAGAGTTTGTGATTGCATACCCGTTTGCCTTTTTGGGAGGGGTATTTATACCTTAGAAGCTCATGATTGCTGTCAGTGTGGTCAGTAGGTGATCATCAGGCACTGGTAGCGTGTGTATTGATTTGATGAGGAATGTCTTCTCTAATTGACTGCTCGGGGTCCCGAGCAATCAATGTTGAGTCGTCGGGACGCCGACGGTACAATATGCTCCTTTCGGGAAGGATGTAATAAATGCTCCGTAATAGGAGCATTTATTGCCTTTCATATCCGAACCTTACCGCATTGAATGCGGTCTCGTCAACAGAAGGGCGCAATTAATTGTTTGCTTCCCAAAGCGCATGTCAGCAACAGCGTGCGGTTTGCCTGTTTTTGATGTGATATCATATGCCACGCGTCCGTCACGTATTGGCTATGACTTCTGTATTCCAGCATGTTCTGACATTACTTGTGTAAGACGGGGTCATGATGAATAGTCTAGACTGGCATAGGCTGATGTCCCGTACGTCAGTAACTTTATCCGGGAGTAGAGGAAGCGTCCAGGATGGAGTGACCCTCGGCGCCGAGGAAAGGCTCACCTCGGGGGACCAAGGGGTGGTGTGTTCCCGAGGTACATGGTGACCGAGGACACATGTCATTGTATAATGTACCGAATATGTGATCCTGTATGAGAGGTACCTCGGGGGAGAGGACGCTTTTGCCGATGGTGCTTGAACCCGAGCAACATTGTCCTAGAACCCCCCCGAGGACGCGTGTCTTCATCATAGGCTTTTTCAGAAGAGTCCCATCAACTGCCCCCCAGCCTTCGATCTTCTGACGCCGAGGACACGCGTTGTCAGGAGACGAAGGGTTTTCCAACTGCCATCCGTCCTTCATTATGGCCTCGAGCAGCTTTCCCCGTCTTGGGATGTCGTGCGCATTAAATGCGCCGTTTTGGTTCTCCCGCCCAATGATGACAGTTTCCCCCCTATATAAAGGGGGTTCTTCTCCGGTTTCCATTGTTTTGCCATTCCGATCTCTGACCCAGAATACGCCTTTTCTGATCTGCTTCGCCGGAGTTTCTGTTTCCTCAGCCATCATCGACAGCATCTTCTCTTAAAATCACAGTCAGTAAACCCATTGTTGACTCCTGGTCCTTCCGGTGCGAGTCGTTTTCAAAGTTTTTCCTGAAAAACTCCGTTTCCGACGTCTTCTGGTGAGTTTCACAACCTTCTTCTTTATCGTCCTCCTGGCCTTCTTGTTTTCCGATTTGAACGGTGGTGTCATCCGGTCGGTACGTCTTGATTTAAACCCTCGGGGAACTTCCTCAGGTTTTCAAGAGAGAACACCTTTTCCTTCCCTTTCTTTTTAGAGATGCCTCGTCGTCGCCCTGTTCCCGAGAATCCATCGGCTGGTCCCTCGGGGTCAGGGAAATACAAGGTGACAGGCGAGGCGCAGATCGATAGGTTCAGGGCTAAGTATGGCATCCCCCCGAGCGTGGACGTAGTGGGCTTTAACCCCTTGTTGAACTCTCCTACCTTCGGGGCCGCGGATGCCATGCCTTTCTATACCAAGGCCATCATAGAGGGTGGCATTAGGTTTCCTTTACCCCCCCTGCTTCTTCAGTTCCTGTCTCGCTTCCGTCTCTTCCCCGGGCAATGCTGCCTCAACGTCTTTCGGATAATTATGGGGGTCCTAGAGCTCAATAGGCGCCTCGGGGTGAATATTGGGCTCAACGACCTCCTTTTCTGTTACTCTCTCCTAAGAGTCATGCCCCACCAACATTTCTACCTCAAAGCCAGGGACCCCTCTATGTACCTTGTAACCCATCTTCCTGACTCGGACAAGGGGTACAAGGACGACATCTTGATCTTCAAGGGATGTTGGGAGAGGGGTGTCGGTCCCGAGTACAATGACCTATTTTGCCCTCGGGAATGGAGAACGACAAGTACGTCGGTTCCTTTGGGTCTTTTTATTTGTTTCTTGGGACTTCTCATGTTTATGACAATCTTTTTTGTTGTGCAGATATTCCTTCTCGGGAAACAGCTCCACCCCCTCGGTCGCTGGTCAATTTTGCCGACCTAGTAACGGTTTGGAGTTTCACGGGCGCCGACGGATTTGGCCGAGCTGCCCATAATTTGCTGCACTATACCCCCGGGTATAAGAAGTTCTCACAGCTCCCTCAACCTTTCGAGCCTTCACAGTGGTCAGAGCTCTTTGATCAGGCGGCGAGGTTAGAAGTCGAGCAGAACTTGGAGGAAGACCCGGATCGGGCTTCAGAGGGAGAGGTAGAAGGAGTTGCTGAGGTCGGGGTCAGAGAGGACGTTGCTCCTTCGGACGCCGAGGTGGGGACTTCGGGAGGCGACCTGTGGCCGGATTTTCAAGTTCTCCAATCTTTGGACGCCGAAGACGCTCTCGAGGAAGCGATGTCCAACACCCCACGCATCAATTTGGGGTTTCTTAGGCAGAGGCAATCCCTCGCAGCCGGGAGAGGCCGAGGGACGACCGGCGGTACTCCGGCAGGAACCAGTTCCGCCAATTCCTCGAGGGCTCCCGGTCAGGGTCAGGTGCGAGACCGGGATCCTCAGGTGGAAGAAGAGAGGAGGGTAAAGCATCGGCATGACGGCCTCAGCCGGGGACCCAGGGCATCTCCCGCTCAACCTCAAAGCGGGAGGGATCGTGGGTTACCGCCTGCTCCCCCACAACAGCAACAACAACAGCAGCCCCGACAACAGCAACAGCAGCAGCAGCAGCAGCCGCAGCAGCAGCAGCAGACCCCTCCTCCCGTTCCGTCTCGGGGGGAGGCCGCAGAGTGGAATCCTCGAGCCACTGATCACATGAACAGAGTGATCAGGGTCGATGATTCTATTCTGTCGGATCCTCATGTCGCTAATGCAGTGAGTGAGACACTGCATTTCGAGGCCGACATGGAGGCTCATAGGGGGCGATCAACCAACGTGTTGTTCCGCTCCATGATCCAGAATTCCCTGGTGGTGAGTTTATTCCTGTTTTGATCCCTTCACTCTTGTTTTCCATTTTTGTGTTTTTAACACTTTTTTCCCTTCCTTCACAGGCTACCCAGCA